GCCACAGAGGGCCCCTCCCCGGCCAGGGCCCCCCCCCACCCCCCCCCCCCCGCCCCCGGAGTCCCTTTCCCCTGCACACGCGGCCTAGCGGTGCCCCTCCCAAGGACTCCAAGTTCCCGAAGCGTCAGCAACACAACTCCCGAGTTCTGTTCGCACCGCTGCTTCCCGCACCAGCTTTGAACCCCAGGGGCTCCTGTCGGGCCAGCCCTTCCTGCTCTGCCTACGGAAACAGTGCCCTCAGAACGCAGAGGAAGCGTGTCCGTGGCATGGATTCAGCTACGAAACCCGTCTGTGCTGCGTCCACTCAACCTGTCACGGAGGTGGCCCGCGTGGTCTCTAAGTTGGGGCCCCCGTCCTGTGGCCGCCATGGGAGCCTGGCTGGGCGTTATCTGCGGCCCCGTCTTCTAGCGGCTGCTATTTCCTGAGAGGGCCTTGCTCCCTGTATCTGGGACTCTGAGTTACTCCTGTCAGACTCTGGGCGAGTCAGGACAGCGGCTCTCCCCTCCGCTGGGCCCCTCCACCTTTGGCGGGTCCCTTCTGCCCTCCGGAGGCTTCCCAGAAGCCAGCCCACCTGTGATGCTAAATCAGATACTGGCCTGCCCGTGTGTCCCAGCCCCACCTGGAGGTCCTGCCGGCGACCCACTGGGTTCGCTGTGGTGGAGGCTGATCCCCTTTTAGACGAGTGTGTGTTTTCACAGGTCATAAGGGCTGGGAGGGGTCCCGGAGGGCACGGGCCTTGCTCGGACAGTCATTCCCAGGAGGGACACTCTCCAGGGACACAACACAATACAAAGACGCCTAAAGACGAGCTCAGCTGGTTAACAGCAGCCAACAACTCACACAAGCACAGAAGTCAGTGCCGGGAGCCCGGGGTGATGCCCAGCGCTGCTGACCTTGGACCTGGCAGCAGGTGCAGCTCTTGGCCCCGCCTTCCGGGAGCCGCAAACACACGGTGGGGCTGACACACGGTGGCCCTGGGGAGTGGGGCCCCGAGCCCACCATGTGGCACTCACAAAGTCTTGCTGAATGTCCGTGAAGTCCTTCCCGTACTTCTCCAGGGCCTCCTCGAAAAGGCTGGCCTCCGAGGCGGACCACTCTTCCATCTCGTCCCTGCAGAGCACGGGCCCGCCCTGTGGCACCAGCGCCGAGATGGCCTTGGCAACGTCGTACACGCTCTTGTGCAGCGTGTCCATGGCATGGAACTGTAGCAGGACACGCGGAGGTCACCCGGGTCGTGTCCCAGCTGCTGCGAGGACCCGCAGACGCCCCAGGCAGGGCTGGCCAGCCCACCCACCCGGGAAGAGATGAGGACAGTCGCAGGAGGCAGCGGGGGCACAGGAGAGATGGAGGGGGGCTCGCTCCCACGCCTAGTCCAGTGGGCTCTCCGGGAGGGCACGGGATGGATGGACGACCCCAACCTCATGGAGCCACCTGCCGGGAGCCCGGAGACAGCTGGCCCCGGCAACAACCGGACGGGGTCCTGTGCAGACGCCCCAGCATGCAGCCCCCTCACCAAGGTGATGTCCCGGGAGGCGGCCGCGGCGCTCATGTGCAGGCTGGGCTGTCGGACGGAGCTGCTGCAGTCCAGAGCTCTTGCGAAGGTGCCCACAGAGCTGGGGGGGTGGGGGCAGGGAGACACTGACCACGGGAGCCCGACGTACAGAGGGCACCCTGGCCAAACCCGGAGCACACCAAGATAAGAGGACACGGCTGGCTAGGAGGCCCCAGGTACCAGGGACAGAGCCTGCCGCTGGCCACCACTGCCTGGGGCTCCACCTCCCCAGCTCACTGCAGGGCCCTCCCTCCACAGCGAAGGCGCTGGGTCCAGAGGAGACACATGGGAGCCTTCTGGGCGTGTGGCTACCTGTGTCCTCACAGGGCCTCCCCTCCCGCTGGCCCAGCC